ATCTCGTGAAAAAACTATCGGGAAAATAAATTAACAGCAAAACGTTGCATTACATCTATTATACTGTAACATTTGGCGATAAACTTCAAAAGTGGACTTCGTTGATTTCCCAAAAATGCTGCAGGTGCCAAACTTATCATTCCTTTGACTTTAGCGTTATATTCAGGTCTTTCGCTTCCCATGACATAGAACGCGTTTGCACCTTGACTGTGACCGATATAATACAATTTGGAATGACCAGTTTTTTCCAAGATATAATCTATCGTCGCTGGTAAATCATAATATCCGATCTCGTGCCAGCTGTAACAGAAATATATATCGTTTATCAGATACAATATCTCACTGCTTCTTTTTATATTTTTATCTTTTTATACTTTTAAGTTGTACAATTACCTGAAATTCCAAAATTCCTTATCTTTGATCGAATAATGTTTATGAGATTTGGAATAGGTGTTTCCACGAGCGTTTGTGAGCCAAACGTCGAATCCATTGTCGCAAAGAATATATGCTGCAACATATTAAAAAACACATAATAAATTCTAAAATATTATTCTGATGATGAATAATTACTATGCCGTTAATATATCTAATCTCTGTTAAAATGGTAGAAGATATTTTAGTATAAATGATCAGACGATTAAAATAAATAATAAATGCAAAATGAAAAAATGAAGGAAACGAAAAAATAAAATTGTTATTTGACAGTACTAACCGATGGACTTGTCAGGTCCCAGGAGCACCCAGTCTGCGGAACTCGATAATACTCCATGACTTATAATAACTGGCAATTTAGAGCCTGGACTGGTACAACATCCGAGGGTTTCTAAGATTCGATGACAATCGGGAGAAATCGACTTGCGATCCTCACTATTTTTATTGTCAATAACAGCCGGATCGGTGATGGTGTCAGCATTTAATGGCACTGATGATACTCGATCGTTAGGTGAAAGCACACGATGCATAGTTAAATAATAACCGTCTTCCGTGCAAATCTGATGGGTCTCGGCCACGTAACCATGAGCTTTGATCAGTTCAGGCTGCAACAGAATAAAATATAATTGCATTGCGTAATTCTTTGCATAACGAGCGATTTTATATATCAGTTAATTTAATTAATTGTCATGCATGTAGCACGTAGTCTGGTATGAAGTTCATTTCGTTCAAGTCCGACAGACAATTGCGGACATATAGATGCTGTTTGAATAACTTATCACGAATATCCCAAAAATGTGAAGCACTTTGTTTTATTAGGAAGAAAGTTTCGTCCAAGTTACTCTTAATTTGCGAAGTGACCGCAAATTAGAGCGACTCATCTGCGAAATTTAGCAACTTTGTTTACTTCAAATAGCGATACGTCATCGATCGATCGATCTGAGTAGTGTTTTCAAGTGCTTATCTAAACGCTTATTAGTCTGATCCGTTATTAAGGCTAACGATAGCGATAGCTTTTACCATTCTAATTGCGTCTGTTTATTAACAAATGAATTTCGTTTAGCCTTGAATGCAAACTGTTCAAACTCTCGCTTTTGCGCCGCCGCGACGCAATTCCGTTTCCGGGTGAGAATAAGAAGCGTCGCATATAATTAAGAATAATTTCAACGCGTTGTTTCATATCAGCTAATTGGTCAAGCGGCAACGATAAGAGACAGTGCGACTTAATAGATCGAAATATTCCGCTTTGAAATAATATCAGATATGTACTATGTACTTAATTGTTAGAGTTAGACGTACTTAGGCATACATCTAAACGCGCTGATATAAAATACCTATAACGAATACTCCACGGTTACTCCAATTATATTAAATACATATTACACACAAGGGCGATTGAAGAATGGATCTCAAGTACTTAAGTTTTAAATTTGCACATTAACCTTTACCCTCGGTTTTCATGAATCATGAATGCATTAGTTGCTTTCCATTTACACTCAAGTGATCTGAGTCACTTCAGTTATGTGAGTATTTTATACTCAGGTATAAGATATGTCATTTTGTATTTACCTGTTTATTTTCGTGACAAAGCTATCAAATAATAATAATACAGGTCTATAGCGTCACTTTTAATGTGAGTTTATTAGATTCATTAAAGCACATGGTCTCGATTGTGGATAAAAACTCAGGTGAATCTCACTTGCCAGCATGCAAAAAGAACGTGCATTTAACTAAGTTATGACGTCACAAGTGAGAATTATCTGAGTTTTGATGTAAATGGAGAGCAACTATGGCTACGGTCAACGTGACGCTACAAATGCTTTGGAGCGTTCTCCTTATCTTTCTTTATTCATTGAAAGAAAAGAGAAGAGTAATGCTTCGAAGCATTTGTAACGTCACGTTGACCGTAGCCTACATTAACAGTTTTATGTATACGCATTGAGACTTGAGACACGTGATAACGTAACGCGCGCGTTCTCGCGCGCTTCCACCAATCAACTACGTGCTTCTTTGTTTTCAAATGCGCATTACAACGCGTTAAAATTTTAACGTTTTGAAAATTTGAATCCTCGCGTAAGAAGGCATGGTCGTTAACAAGAGTTCGCATAATTCTGTAGATATCTTTACGCAGCTAGCTTGGAGAACAAGTTGGCAAACTGCCCAAACTGGACTGGACGGCCGTGTAGAACGCAATAAAAGGAGAGAACGGAAAGGCGAGTAATTGACTTATCGATATATCTCATAATGCCATAACTTCTATATTCTCGTAACGCTATATATTATAAACTTATATATTTATCGATATGATTTCGATCAGGGACACGCCAAACCGGTTTTATACACGAAGGAATTTACACGTGCGATATATATACGATTATACTTGTCCGTCCAGGTGGAAAACTCACGTCGAATCCTGAAAATTTCAGATCGTCCAACGGAAAACTTCACTCGAGAGATGTCATTTTCACATACTCTTTCCCGTCTCCCGTCACTCGTGAGTTGAAGCGTTAATGTACGAATGCATGTATGACGCGACGTCTCTCGTAATCGTTTCTCAACGCAACACAATTACTACGTTTACGCGAGCGTTACTTATTCTGTAGTACCTAACTTACGATAATTCCTTCGCGTAAAGGGGATTTTGTAGTAACTTACGATAATTTACTCCGCGTAAACAAGTGAATTATCGCAAGTTACTGCAGAAGTAACGCTCGCGTAAACGTAGTATTTGTTGTAACGTGTATAATATATATCGATAGCGTCTTACCGTTGTTGTGTGAGCCTCATCCTGAATCGTTGCGTCGGTCGCGTTGCCCATGTTGCTCTGGACGCTCGACGCTCTGGTGTCGGCTTATCAGCAGTTCAGTGCGTGTTGCGTACGACGCGTACGACGCGACGTAAAGTTCACTAGCGATATCTTTCTGCGAATTATTTTGCGGAAGGACGTCGCCTATTTCTCTCGCTTCTCCTCGCCTTTCACTCTTTCTCTAGCTCTCGTACAAATTCCTTTATTTCAGTTTCAAGTTCCTTCGAGGCACGGCTCGCACGACGCGCGACTCCGAGAGTGGTTTGCGAGAAAGTGCGACCCCGCGAAATCGTGTGCGGTGACGGGCGCAGAACCGAAGGGAAGGGTCTCCGACTCCGAGTCCCGAGTCTACGCCGCGGCCCGCGCGCGTGAAAGGCTCCTCTGTGTTTTTCCTTCCGCGTGAGATCTTCTGAAATCGACGACTCGACGTTGAGCTATTTCTCAACGGCGCGCGGCGCGTCCAGTCCGGACGGGAGAAGATAAAGCGGAGGCTTGAAGGCTCCGCTTTTTCAAAACGTAGCGGAACGAATTATTGCGCGCGCACGATTCCGACGAATTCCAATGTCCTCTATCCTTCTGTCGACAACGACCAACAACAATCAACAATAAACAACTGCGGGCACGAACACGAACGCGAGACGTGTGCACGTGTATGTATATACATATGTGCCACGGGCTTGAACCTTGAACGTGGAGACGTTGACGAGGGGGGGGGGGGAAGGGAGACCGTTTGAATTAATTTAATTATTCCAGGGAGAAGATTCGCCCGAGATAGAGAGGGAGAGGCTCTGACACATGTATGAGACTGAAAGCAGCGAGATGTAATCTGCGTTCGGCCGCAGATACATCATACATTACATATTGTAATATCGATGTATGCACGTACAATATTCAGTTTGTCTTCTTCATGACTCATGAGGGAGACATTTACGAATATGTTTTTCTAACGATAAATACCGACTATTTCACAAAAGCCGCGAGTCTGCGCATCTCGCGATAGAAAGTCTTAGACAACGACGATCGTGAACTTTGTAGTTTGTACTCGCTCTTCGTGGAAAAATAGTTAATTATTTGCCAGACGCGAAAAAGAAAAATGTAGCAACGCCGCGGTTAAAAGATAGATTTTTCTCATATTTGATTATCAATAATTATAGATTGTTCGTACAAAAACGCGAAATGCGTTGAACGTAAGAATTTAAGTAATTTATAGATATTAATATGAAATCTCTCTGTGAAAAAGATATTGATTTGCAAACTGATTTCTAAGTTTGCAGTAAAACGTGTTTAAGTAAAATGTTTAATTGAACTTTAACTATTCAAGACGCAAGTCAAGTTGCTTAACAAATTTCAATATTGCTAAATCGATTCACAATTTATTTTCAGGCAAAAACCCTTGTCAATTTCTCTTTTTCGCATTTTACTTTTCATCGTTACGAATCTGCAATGAGTTATTGTAGTGCAAAAAATTTTACCATTATTTTGAATATAAAAATAAAAGTTTCTCGAACGAAAAAAATCGACTGCGCATATATCTATAATATATATATAACGTGGATTACATTGAGATATATAAAAATTATTATTTGCTGTAGTATTTAGATTATTTAAACCATGGAGATAAAAAATAATTAGCGAGTGTAAATCTATACAGAGCACTTCCGACAAACAAACGTAAAGGGGAAACAGGAAACTATTGAAATGTGCTGCATATATTAACTATCGACCCATCGACGTGCACGAAATGTTATTGGCTGAAGTGAATCGCGCTTCGTTCGAGAAGGTAGCAATAACATGGCGCGTCTAATCAGATTCGTCATTTGGTCCTTTCTCTCAAAACCGAGTTATGTAAAATGACACCTTACCCTCCTTCCCCCTGGCC